GCCAGCGTGGAGGAGGCGCTTCCGGCGGAGCCGCTGGGCCCCTACGGAGCCGTTGTTTTAAACCTGCTGTCAAGCCCCGTGTCCGGAGCCTGCGCGGGACATTTTCTCAGAAGTGATCACCCGGCTTCTCGTGGAAACAGAAGGGAGTGAAAAGCCCTGGAAAGCAGCTGGTTGGGCCTAACATTTTGTCCCCTGTCTGGCACAATGAACGCCCAGCTGGTCCACCCTCGCAGTCGGAATCTCCACCCATGTTTCATAAACCGCAGGGCACCCCAGCTTCAGTTTGAAACAAAACCATGAATTGCTAAATTCTGCTGCCCAAATGGACTTACCAGTGCAATCAAGTAGTAAATGAGGGGACCCCACTGAACCATGCTACTATTGTTCCCCTGAAGACAGTTCCAAAGCTGCAATAGGCAGCCCAGTAAACCTCAAAGACCTCGGCTGTGTCTGCACTGGCGCCATCTCTCGCGCAAAAGCGGCCGCTCTTGCGCAAAAACTTGTTGCCTGTCTACACTGGCTGTGTGTTCTTGTGCAAGTAAACAGACGTTCTAACGTATAAAACCAAGGCTTCTTGCACCAGAACTCTGACGCTCCCGCTCAGGAATAAGCCCTTTTGTGCAACTGTTCTTGCGCAAGAGGCCAGTGTAGACAGGCAGCCAAGAGATTTTGCGCAAGAGCCATCCAAACAGAAAAAAGCTCTGGTGGCTGCTTGGACGCTCTGTACGTGCAGTCACCACTCTGGACTTCCTGGTAACCTGAGCCCCCTTAAAGGCACATGCAGCCTGCAGAGGCCACGTGGCAGACACACCTCTGCCACCGAGCTCTCCTACGCGCCAGGATGGCCGCTCCAGGGGGGCACCAGCAACCCACACCCCCAGCTCAGGAGGCCCCAAGGGGCACAAAGAGGGGCACCCCATCCTGGTCCTCTGTGGGGATCAAGGGCCTGTTGGACCTCTGGCCCTCCATGACCCCTGTGCCCATTGGAGGAATGCAGACATATTCCGCCGCATGGCCCAGGTGCTCTCCCACCAGGGCCACCCAGCCCAGACTTTCGAACAGGTCCGGGCCAAAGTAAAGGAGCTGTGTCTGGGCTATCACCAGGCCAGCGAGGACCAAGGGGCAGGAGCTGACCCTATTACAAGCATCTCATTGCCATCCTGGGCGAGGTGGCACCCCAGGGACCCTTGGTGCCCGTGGACACCAGCAGGTGCCCCCGTCACCAGGCACAGCAAGGCAGGGGACGAGGCAGAACTGCCCGTTGGGTCGGAGGAGGACGAGGATGACCAGGGGAGCACCATCGCCCTGCAGCTCGAAATGCTGTCAGGCAGCCCGGACGTCTCCTACGCATCGTTGGAGGCCGGGGAAGGGTCCAC